AAAAAAAAAAAAAAAGAACGGAGTTCGGGTAAATTTATTCGCAAATAAACTCTTGTGCAACATGTGTACCATTCATTAAAAATTTCTATAAATAGTATAGTACAAACATGGGTTACAATTGATCGGCATATAAATGAAGTTTAATAATATCATTATATAAATTTTAGCAAACAATTTTAGTTAATTTATTATTATCAAAGCATAATATTGACTAGAAATAATGAAACACATTTGCGAAAATTTTTTAAAGTTAATAATTTCTAACCCAATCCTGCAATAATAAATAAACTACTTTTACTTAACGTTAAATGAAATCATTATATTACTTAGTAGACATTGAAAAGAATGGCTGGACTTTTCTTTGAATATAAAATCATAAAATTAAATTGGATGATTTAGTTATTAATTATTATCATGTAAAAAATTGCTTTACTTAAATGAGTCATCGTTATAAATTTCGTTATCATGTGACTTTTGTCGATCTGAACCAGTATCCGGTATAATTAATTTGGTCTAGAACTATCAGAATTAATACAAAATTTTGAAATAATATGTTAACTCTGGCCAAAATTCATGACATACGCAACATTCGCAACATTTATTTTAATTTTTATTTTTAAAAATGATGACAAGGACAGAATATTATACAGCATTATTTATTTTTATTTTTATTTATTTTACTTAGAAAGGCGAACAATATGGTTAAATTATATTACATGAGATATTTGAGGTTTTATCCGTATTGAAACACTATTTCTGTGCATACTAATAAATGCAAAATATCAATTTATATATATTGTTACATCAAAATTTGAAGAATTTATTATAGTAAATGACTTGAATTGTAATTAATTTACAATGATAAAATGATTCATAAGCGTAATACTATAAACTTAATATAAAAAATTAAAAAATGATATTTCCAATTAGTATTTAATGTAAAATCCACGACTTGAAAAGAGTATAAAAAAGATTTTATTTACGTAAAATAGTAAAAATGAAACAATAAACGTATATTATTAATTCTTTTAAGTAATATTTGAAAAATTATAATTAGTAAAAGTTTGTGTGAAGATTGTATTTTAACATGCATATTAATATAAATATTCCTATTATTAAGAGTATTTTTTTAAAAAATTAAATCTATAAAGAACTTGTAGTATTTCTTATAATAAGGAAATAAAAGTTAAATTCTCGTAATTATCACATAAAATTATTAGTTAATATCATTTTATTTTGTTTTAACAATCTTAAAACTTTGTTGTGATAATCAAATTTTCACAATTCTTAGATGCTGCGCTACATTTTTCGGTTCAATAGTCGTTTATGCAAAAGCTTTGCTGATGTTAGACATTATTTATAAAAAAAATTATTTATAATTATAGAGTATCTACTTAATTTGATTGATCATATACCTAAAAATAAAAAAAAAAAATTTTATTTTGTTTAGTCCGAAGGAATATTTATCGTACTGCATTAGTAAATTTGTTTTATCCAGTTTATTTCGGTAAGATGAATACCAGTGCGTGGTGTAGGGTCGACCACCTGTGTGGTGTATGGTGATATTTGGCAGTAACTAATTTATAATCATGACTTTTTATTAACAATTTAAATTTTATCTTTAACCAATGTACCATACATAAAATACATAAAAAGATAATTTAATAATGTTATTTAGTTAGGGAACGTCGTCGGGCTGGTAGTGTAGTCACTTAAACTAATTTCTCTGATTCAAAAAGAAAACTTCATTCAATATTATTTTCATCATCTTGATTCATTTCATTAAGATCTATAAAATAAATAAATATACATATATATATATATAAGTATTGATAAAATAAAACATTAAAGAATAAATATCTTACCTGATTCATCTAATTGGCAATCAAAACCTTCTGAAGCTATAAATCAATTAAATTAATATTAATAAATTAACTTATTGATTATATAAATACCAATAAATATAATAATTACTTACATAATGTTGATTGAATTGCACCTATTATTGGAAATTATACAATAATTAGAAACATAAATATATTTTTCATTAAAAAGTAATTAAATTAAATTACCTGAATTTACTGGTTCTGGAAGATTTTTAAAATTTAAAAGTCTACTAGTATATATTGCTTGTGGATGTGTTTGAATGTTATTAGATCTTTTTTCATTTGTTCTGTTTAATTTGATTTTATCATCATATTCATTTACTTGAGATTTAGTATCACTATCATCATATCCATAATTATCCCATTTATTTAATATTTGATACAATTCTTTAGCAGTTGGTCTATTTTCTGCTTTAGCATCCCAACATTTAGTGATCAAATCTGCAAGTAATTTTGGTGTATATTTAAAAATAATTGGTCTAAGTCCTTTACATATTTTAATAGACAAAGCATAATCATGAGGAATATTATTATAAGGAGTTTCTTCAGATATATATTCATTCATCATTATTCCAAATGAATAAATATCAGATGCTTTTGTATATTGATATCCACGTAAAACTTCTGGTGCCATATAAGGTAATACTCCATAAATTCCTTGTTGTTTAATTGATTGCTTTTCATTATTAGCTGGTTGACACATTCCTAAATCACTTATATATGGCCAAGAACCATCATACAATATATTGCCTGAATGAAAATCTTTATGAATTTTTCCAGCATTATGAATATCTAAAAGTCCACTTGCAATTCGCTCTAATTTACTAATTTTTAAACCATAATTTAATTCATTATTCATATAATAATTTCTCAAATTTCCATTTTCACAATATTCTAAAACCATCATATAATCTTTGGTATTTGGATCTTGAGTTATTCCATAACATTGAATAACATCATAAAGATAAATCTGAAGATGAGATTTAATCTAATAAAAATAATGAAAAGTGAAAAATTTTTAATAAATATATAAATAATACATAAATAAAATCAAGTAAATAGATTACATTTCTTATTTTAATTATTACCTCATTTAAAAATTCTGTACTTATACAAGAAGAATTATCCAAACTTTTTAATGCAACTTTTCTGCTCTGCCATTTCCATTTTTGATTTTCAATATCCCAAGAATCAATATTTCCTTCAGGCCATTCAGCTGAATATATTTTACCAAATCCACCTCTGGTAATATAAGTAATATCTTTAAAATTTTCAAAAGGTATCCATTCAAGATTTTTTTTATAGTGCACAGCATTAAGTTGTGATTGTTGTATAAATTCATCAATATCTTTATTTCCACTAGTCCAATTTTTAAAGTTATCCTTAAATCTTTTAGCATTACAAGGTTGACACCATTTTCTTCCTGTGCCAGGTTCATTACATTCTCCACATATTCCATATACTTGTTTTCTTTTTTCTAAGTCATTCATATAAACTACTTTTCTATCTGACTCTTCCATTAATTTAATAGTTGAATCTATAGTAGAATTTGTAATGACATGTTCCTTTTATAATAAATTAATTAAAAAAAAACTATCACTATTTAAAAAATAATGTTATTAATAATAATGATAAAGTGAACTGTTTTTACCTGATATTCATAATTATCTTCGGATTCCTTCCACAAACTTTCAAGATTTTTTTTAGAATTCATTTTGGATATTTCCATACGATTTGGGTTGTATATATATA